AATGAGCTTTGCAGTGCTGGACTTTAGGGAAGAGGATGGATGGAACCCTACAAACACAATGGCAACAGTGACAAGAAACTTACCCACTAAATCTAAGTGAGAAAGCATGAAAATGTTAAAAAATGCACACAACTCTCTGTGCTCACCACACTCCTCAGCATTTTAACAATGGCCATTTCTAGTACACTTCATTACAGTTGTATTTTTAGGTCATCCTGAATATCAGTTTAAAAAAGCAAAAGGTTTACCATCTTCAAATTGAAAGAAGAGCTATTTATGGTAGACAAATCCATACTTATTTAGGCAGTGTCATTTAAAAGATAATGCAAAATCAGCACTAGATGCATGACACAAGGTCTACAGTCAGGGAACATGATTTCCAACTTGTGTGGCTGCTGCATTGATTACACCAGGCAGGTCAATAAAGGAATGGTATGTGGCTCTAAATCTGATAATGAAGCTTTCATTCTGAGTCCTCCCTCCTCAAACACAGGTTAATAATATGTTCTGAGCACTCCTAATACAGCAAATGTACAGGGCTTGTAAGCAGAGTTTACACAAAAAAACAGACTATACTTAAATCTTGCAGTCATTCAGAGCTCAGTCAGGTAGGAGCTGAGAAACTAGCCATGCTATAGAGGTATCAGTTAGAAAGAAACAAAATATCTTTTTCCTATGCAAATCTTGATTTTGCCTTAATATCTTGGGAATGTACCACGTATTCCCTTTGCATGCATTATTGACAATCAATATGCTGACTAGTCCCCAGACCAAGCAGTTAATAAATAAAGCCACATTTTATAGACAACCTCACAAACATATCTGTAACGCCTGTGGACATGGAGCCTGTGTGCACTGAATCCTCTTCCTGCCTTTTGGAGAGCAGATCCTGCACAAGCCATGTGCACAAATACAGTCCTGCACATCCAACTGCTGGTGAACACCAGGCCACCAGGTTCCTGCACAACCACCACTGTTGTGTTTTTAGAAGACCCACAAAAGCCTGTCTGTATCCCCTGCAACCAGTACAGGCTTTTCACCCATTAAAATATATTTCAGACCACACAAAAATGCTTTCCAAAAAACAGAGTGGCAACTTCTGCCTCCTATTATCAGCAACCATCATGTCTTACCTTGGTTCTTGTAATCCCTCTGCCCTGTGTGTGCAGCTGACTGTGCTTTGCAGATGTCAGAAAGTGTCCAAGACATTCAGTGCTTAGCTCCTCTTCTCTCACACGTGTGTTTTGCATATTTGACCCATGCTTTGTCAAGTAACTTTAACATTTGGCACCTCTATGTGCGCCCACAAATAAAATGCTCCTGACTAGCAGACTTTCTGAGCAATTGAAAAATAAATAAATCCTGGCATTAACAGTGCTTTAGCAGAAATAGCTTTCATCCTGATGCTACACTGGGCTGTTCCAGGCAGCTGAATTAACCCATAAAGGCTCAAAGGGAGCAGGCGTTTTGAAATGTGTTACGCTATGGGAATTCTTCTAGTCAAAGTGGCCTTCTGCCGACTAATTAGGAAGCTTCACCCACCTTTCCAGCAGCAGGGTGGGCTGGCAGGAAACAGTTTGGGCCTGATTTTTCAACTCTAAAATTTATAGTTGAATAAAATTCTTGGCGATTTCCAAAGGAAAACAGAGCAGCCACGAAAATGAAGCCTCTCCAGGCACGCTTGTGTGTGTGTCTGCACATGCCTACCTGCACACAAGGCCATCCATACACGTATGCATTTGGGGGCTGGCAGGAGGCAGGACATAATTTGGAAGCTGAACATTAAAAATGGTTCTTCACAGCTCCTGTTAGACACCCTAGCTTATGCATGGCTCACAGCTGATACCCCACTGAATACATCATTCTGAGGCATTATTGCAGCTGGAAAACTCTACAGCAGCACTAAGTCACCTGTCAAGATCAAGCAAGTCACAGCTTATTTATAGGACAAGGTTGAAAAATTTATTTTCTTTTCCTAATCATGCAAAATGGGTAACAATTCTGTTAGCCACATCAGTGGGAAAAATGCAAGTACCCTGAGCCTCGGGGTTGTCGCAGTGTTTAAGTGGAATTTTCTACTGGCTGCACAATCCCCAAATGAACCATTCATGGAAGTGTCTGTGACCAAGGAACTGGGTGACAGATTTTGCAGGAAATAAAAAGATTTCAAAGACTGGCTGATTATTGTCTGTGTAGATACTGATTGCTCTCCAGATCTTCCCTGGGGACACCCCCTGCCTGCCCTCTGGATGCGGATCAAGCCATTTGTGCAGGACATCTACAGTGAATATTTCTCTGTTTTCCTACATGCATTACTATGAAAACACTGGCATGACAATCTCCATTTTCAGATCACTGTGTCAAGAAGGAAAGCATCAGGCTTGAAAGATGATCACTTACAGCAGTTCAAAGAACTCTTACAAGCTATATAAAGATTGAGAGAAAAAACACACACAAAAAAACAGCATATGATGGAGCAAAGCTCCAAGCCAGGCAGTCAAGCTGGGAGTCTCCCACACTGCAATGACGTTCACTGCCAACAAGTCACAGGTGTACTACACAGGAGCAGGTGAAAAAAATAAAATGCAACTGCGAGGGGTGTGATAATGGTTTGGGGCCATAATACATCCAGTCTATAGTGCCATTGTGCATCTGTTATGTATCTAGGTATTTTGTACCAGACATTTAGAGGTAGACTGTCTATGTGCATGAGCATATACACCTAAGGTACCATATATTATACAGAGGTTAAAAAATGGCACAAGGCTGGTAATGCCTGTCACTCAAGTGAAATTCCTAAGCCTTCTGTAGTGCTACATGGAGATTTGGACTCTGATTAATGGTTATAAAGCCTCTCTCTTCCCTTCCAAATCCCATTAAAATTAACATAAATCATTCCTCAAATAAATTC